TTTATGAAAGTGAGAGCCTTGGTAGTAAAGAAAGGGAAGACAACCATCAGGAAAGAAAAGAAGGTCAGATGGATTGGGGGGATTTTTTTTTCTGGGGTTGTTTTGTGTCTCCAGCATCTTTAGATCACACACAGTGGCCTGTAGGAGTGAGAGAGGGAAAGAGAAAAGCGGCAGACGTGCATTGTGTGTGTGTGTGTGTATATTTGTGTATTTGCAATGTGCACTCAGCAGTTTTTGTATGTGGATCTATTTGCATATTTGTTTTTGTGCGTGTGCAGCACTGAATCTGTCTCCCTATACACTACATTTGCTGCTCTCTTTATCTGTGGAAGCGAGGTGGCACATACCTGGGCCCTCAGCATCTCTTTTCAGCAGTGCAGTCTGCCAGCAAATCCATTGGCAGTGATCTTGCGTTACATCTATGTCTTGGGGGCTGAGCGTCGGTTAGCAGTAACATGTGTTAGGGAGGTGGTAGCACTGATGGAATTCTACACTTGGCAGCCTTCCAGGCAGCACTGGTATGTGTTTAAAATACTTTCAAGGAACAAAACACGCTTTTGTTGTTTGCTGGGCCAAGTGGGGCTGTTTTTGTCTCCGATGGCCCCCAGGGGCCCATGGGGATAGCACCGGAAGCTGGTGACGTTCCACAAAGAAGGTATACCCAACAACAAGCTCCCCGCTTCCCCTAAAAACACTGATGAAAGGAGATAAAGAGGTTTTCATTTTCACGAGGTGTGGGTCATACATTTGTATGTATGCACATACTCTCAGTGGACACAAACAGGAACAGACCAATTCTTTACGTATATAAAACACGTACACACATGCCCTGACACACACATAGTGGTTATTAAGGAATAGCTGCAGTGGCAGAGGGTTCTTATTTTCAGTATGTGTTCATTAGCTGCCTGGTTCTAGACTTAATGACAGGAAAGAGACATGTTTGTACTGAATACCCTAATTTGTCATTTGGTTTATGGAGGAAAACACAACCCTACTCCTTTTGCGCTGCTTTCAAAATATTTTTGTCATGTTACAAGTGTACACACACAATCACAGTCAGGCAAAGACAAAAATAATGCATGATTGAAATTATTGAAAGACACAAAAGCACACTTGTGAGGTAAAATAAGAAAAAATGTGTAGTCAAAATTACTGATGCATGAACACACCAAACACACATACAGTAAGAAGGAAAAAAACGTGAAGCACTGATATTATACCCACACCCACCCGTGCACACACACACTTACTCACGTACATGTACATGCACCAAAAAGATAAAAGAAGTTGTGAGAAGATGTCTTTTGCCTTGCCTTATTAAGAATTCAGTTAATGAGGCAGCTTTGTCACCACAGATAGAACAAATGAATATGAGACAGCAGTGCTGCTATATTCTCCTCAAATCCAGGGAGCGAGGGAAGGGGAGGTGTGTGCGTTTGTGTTTATGTGTGTGTGTGAGAAAGGTGTTTTGTAAACATCTCATTCTGCATAATGAATGCAGTCCTCTGTCATCCTCACCCACACACACACACACACACACACACACACACACAGCAGCAGCAGCAGCAGCAGCAAACCGCTACACAAGGGAGCTCCCCTTACCTGTCAAATTGACTCTCCTCCCCTATCCTCAATACAAGTCCCAGTGTGTGTGTGTTTATGTCATCGACAGGGCTGACAATCTTGTGTTTTTGACAGGTAAACAGGAAGTCCTCGCTGTCATAATTTCCATTTTGTGTGTATGGGGGTGTGTGTGCACCTCCTCCGCCATCCAGAGATGTCTGTGCCATGTTTAGGTCCACCCAGGGAGTGCTGTTTAGCTGATTTTGATTGGCCCACAGGGAGTGTTAGCTTATTTTGTTGTTTGCCAAACACTAATCCCCAACAATTAACCACCAGGCACTCTGGAGAGGTGCCATATTGACAGGGATGTGCCTTCCTCCTGTTCCGCACACACAACACACACACAGAGAGACACTCATATAACAGAAATGTATGTACAGCACATATACACACACACAAATCAGCTGCAGCATAAATTACATACACGTTTCAAGCAGACACACACAGGCGCAAACCCAGGAGCAGGAACAGTGTGTTTGTGTGTTTGAATATGCATTACACAGCCCACGCCTGGCAGGAGTCAAAGTGCTCCTTTAAAAGTTCATAAATCATGGATGTTCTGGCCTGTGATCACCAGACCGCCTGCATTTCAGGCCTGCAGAGTGCCAGAGAGCGACAGACAGCCTCTAGTTTAGGTCTTAAACAAACCCTCTGGAATGTGCTGATGGGGAGAGAATTAATATTAGGTCTAAACCTATCTGGCAGCCCAGTTCAACCCCAAGTATATCATTCAGCTACTCTTAGCTGAAGCCTCATATCCTAAAAACAAATAGAATCTCAGAAGTTGAGAGATTGAAGGATGTGCAGCATTTTAGGGCACCGCTGATTTAAATTAAAATTTTAATTTCAACCCAGTACATTTACCAAAATTACCATTAGGAGCTACAGGAAACTATTTAGTATGATTCTAGTGAAACCCCTCTCTCCTGATAAGACTCTCAACTATCTTGTCTGTCTTGACTCCATAGAACATGTTTTCTTACAAAACACAAAATTTGCCTTATTTCCAATAAGCTTTTCTTCTGTTGTTGATGTAGTACTGAAGCTTGTCACAGAAGGAAAGAAGGGCCTTAGTTTTTCATTCAATTCTAAATCATTTCTTTTTAGTTTCCATTCAGTTCTGAGAAGCCCCCGTTTCTATCTAGACACGACTGAATTGAAAAAGAACAAATATCACACAGCTATCAAGTATCCTTATTTTTATGTTGTAATATTGATTACAGAATGAATGATATCGAGGACGTATGTAAATATAGGGGCTTTTATGTATGGTGTATAGAAAAACAAGATGATTGGTAACATTTCAATAGACAAGTTTATATATTTTTAATGAAAAGACATGAACTAAAACCTTCTTCTGTCTGCATATTTGTGTGCACTGAATGCATGTTTGCTTCCATGAGCACACGTGTGTGTGTGTGTGTGTGTGTGTGTGTGTCTGTGTCTGTGTCTGTGTGTGTGTGTGTGTGTGTGTGTGTGGTTTCCACGGTAAGGCTCAGCAGCTCAGTTCTCCTGCAAGGGAGGGAGAGGAAGAAAGAAAAGAACCAAAGAAAGAGAAAGAGAGAGAGAGAGAGAGAGAGAGAAGGAGCAAGGGAGGCCTCCTTTCACAGAGAAACAAAGATAGCTGTAATTAATGGCCCTGAGCCCTGGACTAGAGGAGCTTTCTTCTGACAACTCTGACTTAATTAAAACTTAAGACTTCTGAAAGGGCCTCTGACTGCGAGGGGACGTCCCACCGTCTTGTGAGAAAAACCTCGTAAGATTTCCTACAAAAGAAAGAAAGAGGGAGAGACAGAGAGAAAAGATGTGTTAGCGGCTGTAGCTATGTTGCTAATCCCTGTTTGTCAAAAGAGGAGGGGGGGGGGGATAAGAACTCACACACCTGCAGCTAACTGTGCCCCCACCCCCAGAACACACAGACACACACACACACACACACACACACACACACACGCGCACACACACACACACCTCCCACACATACATTTTTCCAATCTCTCTCTTCCTGCTCCATATAACTTGATGTAACAGTGCTCAGGAGAAAAGATTACCTTGCTAACTTTACATGTGCTTCAGGAGTGAAACATCTACCTATAGGAGCTATGAGAGACAATGTAGGGTTAGTACACACACACACACGCCATTATATGTATTAATTCATGCTTAGAACTCTGCACCTGTTTCTCACATAGCTGTATGAATAAATCTTAACAAAGCATAAACTAACCTTCGTGAACTACCTCTGTGTCTCTGTCTCTTTGCCTTGCTCTCTTTTCCTCTCTGTGTCTTTCTCTCTCTCTCCCTCCCCTCCCTTCACAGAGGATCAGATAATAAAAGCTTGGCCTGGTCTTTTGTTTTTGTGCATTGTTCATTAGCCCGGCAGCAACAACAGAGGCACACTTGATATGCTTGGTTTGACTGGGTGTATGGGAGTAGGGCAAGGTGGGATGAGGGGGGTGTGCTAGTGTGTGTGTGTGTGGGTGTGTGGGTGTGTGTGTGTGTGTGTGTGTGTGTTTGTGTGATTTTTCACACTGGGACAGGGCAAGAGGTAGGGGGTAGCTTTGCATGGCTGCAATGCCATTAAAGAGGCAACTGGAAATTAAGGGCTTGCAACTGACAGCAGACTTTGAATGAGAAACCCCTGCAGCTGCCAACAATGAGGGGAGCTGGACAATGTGCATGTTAAAGACAAAAACAGTGTTCTGAACTCAACCCCTTATCTGACTTTCTCTGTTTACGTCACCTAAAACATATCCAGTTAATTTGAAGTGGTGTGTAGTGTCTAAACTAAACACAACTACTTAAAACTTCATTTGTTACTGTATTAATAGTTTCCTCTGTTTGGAATTAACAAATAAGATAAAGTTTGTCTATAGTATTTAACTGTTCACGATCTTACTTTTATTTCTCTGTTTATAGTTTCGGTATTTGAAGTGCCATAGTTTTTGTGGTTGCAGTAGATTTGTGTAGAAGTTAGATTTTCAGGAACCTTGCTCTCTAGCAAACATATTGTGGAAAATAATGGGCCAAGTGATTGAGATGTTGCCCACTGACATTCTGCTGGCTTGTTTGAAGCCAGAGAAATGGGATTTCTGGATGTTGGATTTTTGGAACCAAACTGGAAGCAGAGTGGAAGGAAGGATTTTATAGCCATAAAGTGCAAAAGACTAAGACTAATTTTGCAGACAAGCCTTACTTGTTGCATTGAAATTCATCTATATTTGTAATATAACAATTATTGAAAACACTATAATTGCCATAATGGAAATGCTTAGGAGAAATTGAAGTGTCTGTTACAGCTTTATCCTGACTTGGCCATGGGATGCCCTGTACATGAACACCATCTAACATCTGCACTCTTCTCTGTTCCACAGCACTTGCAGAAGCTGGACAGTGCGTACAGCCCGGAGTCGTGTGTCTACTACTGCACACTGTGCGACTACTCCACTAAGGCCCGCCTCAACCTGGTGCAGCACGCTCGCTCAGCTCGCCACCAGCAGAATGAAGGACTGAGGAAACTCCAGCTGCACCAGCAAGGCCTGGGAGGAGACGAGGATGGCCTGAGCCTGCACGAGCTGTTCAACGTCAAGGAGTGCCTCTCCAGCCAAGGTCTGTGTTTCTTTAACCCGCTCTGTCTGTTTGCTTAAGTTGTTGATTTGAGTTTTTTTTTGTTGTTGTTATTTTTAAGGCTATTTTGGGGTGTTGTTCATGTTTCACATTATTTCCTGTCTCTTTTTCTTGGTGCTATACACAAATCCCCTGACGTTTTTTATTACCTATTTGCTTGTGTTTTTTTTATTTTTTTTATTTCTGGTTTTAGCTAAATGCTGACGTCAGCTGTGCAGTGGTCACTTTTCTTCATTTGAAGTCAGATCCATCTTTCTTTACTCCTCCCATCGCTTTTTATTTTTTTCTTGCACCACCCCCTCTTTCTTCTGTCAAACTTCACTCCCTCCTTCCTTCGGCCTTCATATCCAGATCACGTCTTTCGATACAGACCCGTCCATTCCTCCTAATCTCTCCAAAATGAGCATACTGTTCCTATTAGGCTGCCGCGCTTATATCTTCAACACACACACACACGCACCAACACACACACTCTGTCCCGTGCACAGGGACATCCCAGGCAGGCGAGCAGTCAGCTTATGAAATTTCACCTTGGGAGGATCTCATAGTGAAAAGGCCTGTACACACATATGTTATTCACACACACACACACACACACACACACACACACACACACACACACGTATGCTACGGCTACACAGTCTCTCCCTGGAGTGAGCTTTCATTTCCTTTCTCATGACCAAAGCAATTTGGCTTTCATTTAAGAGTCTCCGTCCTGCCAGCAGCTAATAAGTGTAACAGAACTGTAAAACATTCAGAGAGACAAAAAAAAAAAAAAAAAAAAAAAAAAGAAAAAAAAGAAAAGATTAATCGTTTTTCTTTGAGCGGGGGTTGGATGGTTGGTGAGGGGTTGCAGGGTGTAAGGGGAGGGGGCTGCGCTGTAATTTAAACCAGAAGACGGAGAGTCAGGGTCCATTATTTAGTCATCCCTATGTTAATGCTGCTGGGAGAAAATGAGTGCTTAACTTGTTTTTGCTTTGCTTGACCTGAAGGAGCGGGTGGGGTGGAGGGGGGGTAACACATTTTGATTAGCATTCCAGCATAGCATTAGTCCATGCATCCATCTGTGTGTGTGTGTGTGCGTGTAGTGTGTTTGTGTTTGCATTTCTACATGAATCCATGCTCTCCAAAGTGTCCTGTTTATACTGTACATGTACTCCCAGAAGAGATGGGGGCCCAGCGCTTAGAAACATATGTGAATCTGAACACACACACACACATACACACACACTCATATACACACATGCATGACCAGGAGAAGAGCTCCCAATACTGAAATGGAGACTGTTGCCGGTGTACGTTTGGTTTTAATTACACATGGATCAAAGTTTCGGTGAGATTTGGGGTGCAGCAGAAGAAAAGCATGCTTAGATAAATCATTACCACCACCTCCCACCCCAACCCACCCCCACCCCACACACACACACACACACACACACAAACACACACTTCTGTCTTTCTCCTCTCCTGCTCTTTTTGTATCTTTCTCTCTCTCTCTCTCCTTTTTTGTCCCGCTGATTCCATCTCCCACTCTCTCCTGCTCCTGTCCGTTTTTTCATCAAAAACACAAGCACGGCTTCAAGCCTTTTTTTTTTTCCTTCCTGTCCTTTTTACATCTCAAACCAGTGAGCACAACCAGGTTTTAAAACTGTCAAAAGCAATATTCACCCACTGCACCTATTTCAAATGTTCCACTCTTAAAACACACCATATTTGTTGCTCAGGCACATTTTATACCTTGGCTTTGATGCCACATGGTGAATTTCCATGAGGAAGCTAGTGCAAAGCTTAAGCGGACGCTGGCAAAGTCCAAAATGTTAAGCCACTTTTTTGGATGCCCTCCTTTTGCCCACTCTATATAATTTTTAGTGAACAACAGTATTCTTTCACAGGGTACATGGTAAATGTTTCAAAGGAGTTTCTTGTAGACTGTACACATTTGGCAGGTGTAGGCAGAGAGTCGAGAAAGAGTGTGTCAACTCCGGATCAAACTCTGAAAGTTAATGTAATAAATAGAGGTTGTAGTCTTGTTCTACAGGTTTGAAGACGATAGATCTGTTGTGTTTTTCTTTTTTGTGGTATTTTTTTCAGCTGACCCCTCCACGTTTTGGATTACTCAACAGCACATGCTAGGTTATGTTATAAGGAAGAAAATTTATTTTCTATACATATATAGCCGCTGCAGGCTCCTTTAGTGATAGATGATGTGAATGCTTTCACCGATAGAAAAGGCTCTATAGTAGGCAACATTTCCAGCCAGTGTTCAGTTTAAGGACCCTCGCTTTGTGTGTACGTGCATGTATGCATGCTGTTAGTTTTCTGGGGCTACAACTCCTGACTCGAGCACTTTCTGTTCATTAGAGACTGGTATGAAAAAGATTAATTTAAGTGCTGACCGGTATCTTTCTCTTAAAGCCTGGGACCTGGCACAGAGCCAGATAATTATAGGCCCATTTGGGAATAAGAGTTCTAATGCTCTGGACTTTATGTACATGTGAATGGCTTTCATTAAACAATTTTGATGCTGATTTTATGGCCTAATTAAGGATACAGTATTGCAGAGACGCACCATAAGGGTATAGGTGTTTTGAACAAAGACAGGAGTGTTCAAACAACACCTCTGCTGGACTGCATTATGTGCATGTTGATGCATGTGTTTGCTGGTGCATGTTTATTTGAGAAACTTTCACTCTTTGTTATCCATCTGAGTCTGTAATTCCCCGAACCTGGGCCCAAGCGTCTCATCTTTTACACCATGTAAATGCCATTGTGAAGTGAAAATGAAGTGTGTGTGTGTGTGTGTGTGTGTGTGTGTGTGTGTGTGTGCGTGTTGCTTCTCTGCTAGGCAGTAACTCTCACTGACTGTACAGCACAAACTTTTTACCCTGATCTTTCAGCTGTGTCCTTCAGAAACAAAAAGCCCACTGTGCCCACATTGCTGAGATAAATTGTCTCTCCCTGTGTACAATTAGAAGTGTTAAAGAAAATTGAGTTGAGTTTTTGAGTTTGCATCAGAAGAGCAAGCATAAATGAATTGCCTCTCAACATGGAGGACTCGGAGGCCATTTTGCTTTGAGGGTCGTCCAAAAGTTGTTAGAGAAATTAGATTTTTTGTGCCCTTCTCTGTTCTATAATGAAGTTACACCCTGAATAGAGCTGCTTAGTAAAATTCGGGAAGAAAAAGAAAAATATGACAGTTTGCGAGTCATGGGTATTCCATCATCGATTTTATAATTTGAACAATTTGTTTAGCTGGATTTTTGGAGACATTAACGGTCTCTGAAGTTTAGTCGTTATCATGATTTTTCTCCCTCTGATTGTTTCTCTGTTGCCATCTCTGTCTCAAGCATTTGACCATTTGTTTAGCCATGAAGAGCACTGTGGGGAGGTGTGTGTGTGAGTGTGTGTGTGTTTGTGTGAGTGTGTGTGAGTGTGTGTGTGTGTGTGTGTGTGTGTGTGTGTGTGTGTGTGTGTGTGTGTGTGTGTGTGTGTGTGTGTGTGCGCGTGTGTGTTTCTCTATGTGTGTATCCTTGCCCATTAGCCCTGTGCTCCATCATGTGTAAAGCTCCTTGTATGCCAGACGAAGCAGAAACACTAGGGCCTTTTCTGCATACTTTACTTTCTGTCATTTTTCCCCTTTCATTCCCTCTGTCCCTCACAAAAAGGAAAGGGAGATGGGATCTTATGGAGGTAATTATTTCTGAGAGCCCAGCCTGTCATCCATCCCTGCACCACCCCACCACCCACACATCTCCATCCCTCTAAACACCCCCACCGCCACCACCCAACATGCATTAAAGAGGGAGGGAGAAGACCCTCTTTGTCTGAGTCCCCCTTTTAAACAAAAGACCTCTTAGACTTAGACTTAGAGAGACCAATAACACTTTTATCATGTGCATATGGGTGTATGTGTATGTATATGTGAGTGTGTGCATGTGTGTATCCAAAGCCATTTGTTTTCTCTGAGTGATAAGGCTCTGGGACATTTTTGATCCTAGCCAAATTAGTGTAGCTGTGCAACCCTTTTACATAGCAGCTGTAGGCTAAAAACTTAGCCTAATGGACACTTATCATCCCTATATGTGCTTGTATATGGATGTATGTGTGCGTGTTTGTGTGTGTGTGTGTGTGTGTGTGTGTGTGCGCACGTCCAACAGGAAGTGATGGAATATGGGCAGGGAGCAAGTGTGCCATCTTGCTTGTTTCCAAGCCCGCTGACATTCCCTGTTTCCAAATTTACTAAACCCAAACTGTGTCTGAACGGAGTCAAAGAACCAAAAACACAGAAAACAATCATTCACTTTTCAATGTGGGAAAGGGCTTTGCCTTTTCCTGAGGAGCATTTCGATGTGATGACACCAAGGCATCTTTTGAGGTATTAGGTTTTCCCTCCTCCCTCACTTTCACTCCTTCATCTTGTCCTTTTTTTCCTCTGGGTGGTGGCGGTGGTTTTGCCATTCCAGCGGTTCTCTACTTTTTTCAAGAAGGTCTCTCCTCAGACAGAAGTCTATTTCAAGGGTTTGTCTCAGTAATTTGTGGCCATTACATAAACATTCATGGATGGCCGGAGGAGTGAGGGAAAGGATGCAACACACACCCAGATCTAGCTAACCACCAGAGTTAGCACAGTGGTGGCCATTTTCATTTTCAAGTCAGTATATCCGCAATAGGTGAGACCAGCTGACTGGCTCAACAAAGGACAGTTTTGTCCATTTTTAGTTACTGTGTTTGTGCTTCTCTTGCACGTGCCATCCTTCTGATGCATTTATCCATTAGATATCTATGTTTAGAAGTGGCCTTAATAGGTTATAGCAACCGATTATATTGCATATTGATTTACTTACGTACGGCTAATTACCTACGGTTAAGAAATTATTTGTGACCTTTTCTTTCTTGTTGTGAAACAGGAAGTTACTTACATAAAAGGTAAAGTCCATGGATTTCAGTCAGGCGGGATCCATTCCTCGCATAATAAAATCTTG